TGATTGCATTTTATTCATTCTTTGTTCTTCTTTATCAGCATTAATTACAGCTATTGAATTTCTGCTCTTTCTTTCTTATCCTTTATTTTTCCCTTTGTACAAAATTTTATCTTTTCATTGTTTTTTTCTGTTACCTGAGCAAGCATCTTCATTATATTTTCCACCTTGCAATTTTGTTTTTCTTTTATACATTCTGGATCTTTACTACTTCTCATGCAAAAATTATTTTTCTGATTGTGTTTCTTTTTACAGTCTTTTTTTAAAAAGTCTAGTTCTCTTTATTTTTACCTGCTTTTCTTTTCAGACTATCTTTTTTTTCATACTATTTTATCTTCATCTCTGTGTATTTCATTCATTTCATTAAGTTCTATTTTATACACATGATAATTTCTACAACTTCACTTTTTTCTTGTGATAAATTTTTTTCCAAAATTGTTTTCCTTGATATTGAGTCCTGTGTTCTCTCTCCTCTCCCTGCCAATGCAGCAGCTTTGGTGCAGCATAGGTGCGGTGTGGTGGGTTTTGTTATTGTTGTTGTTTGCTTTGCTTTGCTTTGCTTTGCTTTGCTTTGCTTTGCTTTGCTTTGCTTTGCTTTTTCTTGCTTACCCAAATTGGTGTAGAGGGGCCATACATAGATTTGGGGTTTGACAGTCACTAGCATCTGCCCAGGAAAAGATGTTGGTAATTTTCAAACTTCTGTGCCTAAAATTTCCTTACAGTTCCTGTCTTCTTCTGCAGAAATATATAAACTAAAGTTTGGGGTTGTTTTCATCTTTGTTTTTCTGCTATAACCTAACTCAGAATTCAGGTGTTTTACTCAGAATATTCAAAAGCTGGAATCTTGTAGAAGAAATAAATCTATGTAGAACTGAATAACTTGTTTATTAATATTACCCTTACTTCCCTTTTTATAATAAATGTAAATTTTTAGAAATTTGTTATGCTTGATAAAAAAAATCAAGAAAAACAAGGTTATATAAAGTAAAAAGTTTAAGTCCCTTTTCCCATTTCTCATTCTTCACTCAATCCTGCTTTCTAGGGTAACTCATTATTATTCGCAGTATACTATGCATTCTTTCAGAAAGAAGGTATGGTATTTCTCTCCTAAAGAAAAAAAAGAGGCTCATCAGAAAGAAATTCCTTGTATTTTATTTAAAAGGCCAAAGGGTTAGCTTTATTTATAAATGTTTAGCATGTGCATGCACATCAACATTACCAGTTTTGAAGAAATCACCTCTTCTCTACATAGTGCATCCCAATTTCAATGGAGAAGCTTAAAGATTGTTGAGATTCTTCCACATTAACAATTAAAATGTATTGTAAGAAGCATGGTTGACCATCTGTATTCAGCCCTTGGATTCTTAAAGAGTGTTGATGTATTGACTCCTTCTGAATAAATCCTTGGTATAACTATCATTTTACATGTAAGTAGGTGCAGAAATAGTGGTAATAATGAAGCTATGTTTGTGCCAGTTCCTGTTTACTTCTGCAGGTGCTTTCTCTGTTGTTAGGGTTGGTCATGAAGGTCAGACAGATGCTGAGACCAGCTTCTTATCAGACTTGCACGTGTGTTTTACATTGATAAAGATTGGGGATGCTGGTTATCGTATGTAAATTGTAGCTCAACAGAGTTGATTTTTTAAAAAATCCTATGGGGAGAGGTTGTCAGTTGCCTTCAGGATGCAGGGCACATTTCTGAGCAGTCTGGTCTCAGTTTTTTAGCCTTTTTCTCCTCCAGTTCTCTATCCCTTGTGTGCCAAGCCCCTGTTGTGTGGCTTTGGCTCATATTCTTCACTCTGTCCAAGTTGTGTTAGAACTGATAATTCTAAAGAAACAGAACTGATAGGATGACGAAAACATATCAAAAGAGTGTTATTATGAAGGACTGGCACATCTGATTTGATTATAGAGGCTGTGTCCCTCCATCTGCCATTTGCAAGCTGAGCTGAAGGCATAAATGCTGGTGGTGTAGTTCCAGTTCAAACCCCAAAGCCAATGAGAAACGGGGCCAATGAAGTAAATCCCAGTCCAAGTGCAAATACTCAAGAACATGTCTAAGCGCAGGAGAAGTTGGATTTCCTAGCTTAAGCAGAGAGTAAATTCACCCTTTTTCTGCCTCTTTGTTCTCTTCAGGCCTTCAACCATTGGAATGCTATTCCTCCACCTTGATTAAAGCTATCTTTACTCAGTTTACCAATTCATATCCTAATTTTTGCCAGAAACATTCAGTTTACCAGTTCATATCCTAATCTTTGCCAGAAATTATATCTTACCATATATCTGGGTATCCCTTAGCCAAGTCAAACTGACACACAAAATTAATCATCACAGGTTAGTAGGCTAGTGTTGGGAAGTGATCATGAGCAAGTCTAACACTCAGAAATGAAGAGCTTTATCTATCAAGTCAGGCCTTTAATTCATATAGTATTAATGATGGTGGTGGTCATGGTGATGGTACTCAGGAAAAGTTATCAGTAGAAGTCTTAATAGATGTAGTTATAGAAGTAGTTGTAATAATGAAGATTATAATAATGATGAAAGAAAATATTTATTAATTGTTTACTTGGCACTGGAAACTGTTACTTCTCTGGATTATTTCATTCAATCTTTATAATAACCCTAGAAAAAAGGAACTACTGTTACCTTCACTTTATGTGAAGATCAGTAAAATGAACCACAGAGAAATTATATAACTTATTCAAATACCAGAGCTTATCAGTGGTAGAGATTTCTAATGGCTGGTAGTAATCATGACTGATGAACAAATCATTAGTTAGATTTTAATTGTGGACTCCTGGGTGAACTCTTGGCTGGCTTACCACCGCCTCTGCCTTGAACCATGGTTACTGGGCATTCTCAGATCAAGTTTGGGCAGGTACAGTAGAAAGCTCACAACGTTTGACCCTAACTGGTTTTCCTAAGCTATTTTGTACATTTTTCAGTAGCAAAACCAAATGGGATCTTTAGCTTCCCCCTGTTTCTTTCAAGGGAAGAGCTTTCTACAATTGTACACATTTTGGTTTTTGCTCATTGAGAATTTCAACTCTCTTGTATTATTGGTACAATATTTTGTAAATATTTAACTCTTCAGGTCAGATTTTTTTATACTGCCCTTATTTTTCAAAAATTCTAACATTAAAACACTAATGATCTCTATTTAGACTTTCAAAGAACAGTCAGAATTCAGCTGGATACATAATTCTGGATCTGATTTGTTAGGTATTATCAAGCAGAAAATAAAAGAGATGGAAATGGAAGAGGATGTCAGAGAATTCATGTAAACTAAGAATTAAACAATTATTATTTTAGGATTGTAGTGAGCATTAAGCAAGAACTATAGAATATTAGCACATTTTAAATGGATAATAAATGCCAATTATTATTTTAACCTTGGTTTGACTGAAAGAAAAACACCAGTGCCCCTTGTCTTTGTTTCCATGATCTATAGAGGAATACTTACACACACCCTGACACACACACACTTGGCACTTTATTTATGTTTTTTTTAATTGCAGAACTGAAATTTTGATCTCTCAATGACACTGCTCACTACTCCCTGACCTCTGCCATATTCGCATTTAATGAGGAACACTATGCCTTGACTGTTCCTGATGAATACAATGAAGTTTATGGGAAGAAAATAGCTAGGAAGGTTAGAGAAAGGTTATAAGCAATGTTCTCCCAAAGTTTCTGAAATAGGAAAGTAAAGGAAATAGCTCTTTTCCTGGAAACTTTATCTAATAAAAAGAGTTATTTTATTTTGGGGAGGTTTAGCAGATATTTCTCTATCATTCTGGAGAGAAAATTTTAAATTGGCTTTATCTCCAAAGGCATGAGAGATTCCTGTTGTGAATATTTGTTTCTTTATTATGGCATCCTTTTAGGACACACTGGCTTATTTCAGTATGTCTTGAAATATTAATTTGTTTTTATGTGAAATACTATTGTTTTCCTTGTAGGTTTCCAAGTTTGTAGAGTCTAGAGTATTAATAATGCAGTCGTCTCTCTGAAGTGGTTTCTTCTGTACTTCGTATGCTAGGATGGATTTCACTGTATGCCTATTCAGAGAATTCCTATTCAGTTTGTTACTGGTAATTACCCACCAGTCACTTTCTTCATATCTATTTTCTAGATAACAGTTCCCTAGTTTATACCTGTATTATGTATTATTCTTCCCTAAGTATATTATGTTATACTTATTTACATTAAATCTCATCTTAGACCAGCCTTCCAAATCCCCAAGTTGTCCATATCTATCCATGCACTTGATTGATCTTCCTTTCTTTTATGTTTCCTCCATCCTCGGTTTGTGTCGTCTGCAAACTTGATCATATTGGAATTTACATTCTCTCCAGATCATTAATGAGCATGCTGGATAGACTAGTCCTCTTCCCTGTGGGACGCTGCTGGATATACTACTGGATGTTCTTAGTTGTAACTCTATTGATAATAATTCATTGCTTCCTTCCTCTCACAGATTTTTTTTTACCAACTGTACTATACTATTATTCAGGCCATGACTCTACCATCTCTGCTTCCTGGGTCCTTCTCCTTATTGTCAATCATCTTTTTCTAAGCTACAGATAAAAGTCATTGTCTTCCCTTATCCACTTATGCCATTGCTTAATTTTTTAAAGAAAGACAATCTGGGAAAATATTGCCCTTTACTAGAAATTTCTCAAAAAATTTACATGAAACATCGATGAGTCTTTACAAGTGTGTTAAGTGAGAAAACATTTTGGAAGTGCTGCCTAAGTCTGCTTTTTTCCATGGAAAATGGTCTCTAGTTATTTGGACTTTAAGTAAAAAGAATAATTAATTTCCCCCCAGCTGAGATGACTTAAATATATGTATTGTTTTTCCTGAATGTGGATTGCACTTTCAGTAAATTATGCGCCTTCCAGGTGGTTTTCCAGATGAGATACAGTTCATTGTCAGAGCATGATGAAGAGTCACATGTTCATTTATTTTTGATGTTATATGTTTTCCTTTATTTTCAGGAAAAAGAAGAAGTGGAAGGGATATCGGTGGGTGCCATACTTTCTGACTATCAGCGTGTTCGTGTAGAAAATGTGTAAGAGAACATTATTTGTCCTATATTTAAGTACATGTGCATTTAATAATGTGAATGAATAAAAATATAATTGTATCCAAATAATAAATAGATATGATACTCTATATTCCCTGTGGAACTAACTTTATATATATTATCTAAGTAAAAAAAGCTGCACTTTTACTTTTTTTATAATTTTCTATCACACATGGAGAAAACTGTAACTTACCCTACAGAAAAATACATTATTTATAATAAAAAATTTAGGCAAAGATTTTTAAAGTCAGATGTATTATTTTTAATTTTTCCTTATTTGAGTACACCCTTTTAATCACTTTTAGCTCATCATTTGTAATAAAAATCAGGAGTTTGTAGAAGGGATGCAGTGATGCAGTCATATCTTAAAGGAAAAAAAAGCTTAGTAAGGAATCTCCCCTTTGGTCCTTAGGATTCAGTTTTTGGCTAAAAATATTTATGATTTAAATAATTACAAAGTCATTCAGCTTTCAAGGAATTTTTAGGTTGTTACTCTCCACTCTTTTCCACCCCCACCAAGAGATATAATATAGCGCTATAAGGCATTGTCTGCATCTGCAAATACCAAAACAGTTCATTTTGTTATCTGAACCAATATTAAAAAATACAAGGTCAAATGAGAATTAGTTAGGAATGATTTGGCAAAAAAAGCATGCATGGATTTATTTTTTAACTTATTTGAATAAGTATAATATTGTTTAGATGCTTTGTATATAATAATATTAGCAAAAAGAAAATGTGGACTCCAATATTAATCTTAAGTAAAATCTAGCCTCTAAATAAATAATTTTGCCATTCAAAAGGGTGAATAGAAATAAGAGCTGTATTTATGTGATTGTTTCATATTCTTGAAAAAGAAACCTTCATATTAACTTATTAAAAAAGTGCAATTAATGGACTTGAACACTTTAATTTTTTATCTTATTTACTTTCTCCAATTACACAGTGAATTTAAGGCAGTTAAAAATACAAAATTTAAAAAGTAAATGACAGTAATGCAAGGCAAAGCATAATTGTGTGAAGGGTAATGTGACTCATATTTGGGGTATACTGGAATCTCTGGAGAGTGGCAATGTAAATGGAGGAGGTTAAACATGTATTTTGGAGAAGTTTTTCTTACATTCTGCCTGTGTACATTTAAGAACATCTGAACTGTAGATTGATCTGAATTGTATATCCCTTAAGACACACTTTAGAAGTAATGATATTCTTAACAGCTTTAAGGTCATCTTCTCTGAGAATTATTTAGCTTACAAATCTGTTTTTTAATAAGTTCAAACCCACACGGTTAATGGGTAGCCAACCCATACACAGTGCTGACATCTGTTGATGAAACTTAAGAAGCCAAGTGAAAGCATGCTGTTGGCTAGGAAGCTCTCTGGAAGAAGGCCCACAGAGTACTAATGGATGGAGGCAAGACTGTTCTCAAAATGCCACCTAGGTTCACTTCAGCACATGCTTAAAATGTCCAGATTTTATACCATGAAGCATATCTACAATAATTTTATCCTTGAAAATTTAAAAGCAGCATCATTGGGAGTCCAATGGTCTACAAATTCAGTTTTGAATTAGCCTGTCTTCAATTTGTAGTTTGTGTTGCATCATTATATTTTCAAGATATAATGCATTTATTAAATGTCACAAGCTCAAATGCAGCATTGATTCATAGAGGAAATGTATTTGAGGTGTAATATTTTGAATGTTGAAAAATTTAAGTAGGTCAAGAAGTTTGACTTAAGTCTACAAATAGTCAACAGATTGTAGATATCAAAACAACAGTCAAGAAGTTTGCAGTAAGGACATAAAGAAATAACATGTTTCTCATAAAAAAAATCTCAGCTAAAAACAGTAGAGCCTAGTTTGATTAGCAGGCCTTAAACATAGGTGAGAGGACAGCAAGAACTGTGATGCTCATGTTACATCGGGAGCTTCAATTTTGCCATTTTTGTATTAACTTCCTCAACATTGTTCCGTATGCCCTGGGACACGTAACAAAGGATAATTATATAAAACAGTCTCTGTGGTAAGGAAGGTTTTTGTTTCTTTGAAAGTCAGGGTATACGTACATGAAAAAATATTATTTTTAAGGCCATGGATAAGTAAACAACCAAATGTGCGGCACATTTACTAAGTTTGGGGTTCTCTGAGAGAAGGAGAGATCAGTGTGAACTGGAGTGGTCAGTCAGGTAACCTTACCAACATTAGGGATGATAGGTTTTAGAGCTATAATTCTTGCTTGAAATCTGATTCAGCCACGTACTGTGTGACCTGGGCAAGTCAGTTGGCTCTGACTACCATTTATCAAATACCTGTTTCATCTAGGCATTGTACCACATTCTTTATATTACTTTTAATCAATTTTAGCCCTCCTTGAGAAAGTGACATTTAAGCAATGGTGTGAAGCAAGTGAAGAAGGCAGGGAGCATGGCTAGTATTAGGCAACAGTGAGGAGGTTTGGGGTGGCAGGTGGGCTGAGGGGAGGGTAGTAGGAGATGCAGTGTGAGAACTAACCACGCTGAGATCCATGCACGTCTATTGTAAGAACTTTACTGGGAAGAACTTTACATATGAACACATTAATTACTGAGAGTGATGAAGAGGGTTTTGAGCATAGTCCCATGATCTGTTTCATGTTTTAAAAGGACAACACTGGTGCTGCATAGAAAACTGATTTTGAAAGGGCAAGGATAGCAAGAGGGAATGAAGTTAGGAGGATATCGACGTGAGAGATAATGGGGCTAGTAGCAGGTGCCCCATATACCTCAGGTATTGTTCTTTTGTTCTTATTTTCTTTTCACAGAGTTAAATTATTTTTTAAAATTTCAGTTAGTAGATAAGAATAGTTCAACCATAGGTATTGTCCAAGTAACACCCCCAGGTGTTAGTAGTGGAGTTGGTGAAAAGTGATCATAGTCTGTGCTGTCATGGACTGAATGAGGAATGTGAAGAAAGAGGAGTGAAGGATGCCTACGCTTTCTAATCTCTTAACCATCTCAAGAACTTGGAAAGCAAATATATTTGTCCCTGCTTATGAACTAGGAAACTAAAGACCTAGAGCTTAGTTGTTGTTTTTTTCCTATGAATCATGAATGTTCTTTTATTTTAATTTTCTAATTTTCAATTACAGTTCACATTTAGTATTATATTAATTTCAGGCATACAGCATGATAGTTAGACTTTTGTATAACTTACAGTGTGATACCCTGGTAAGTCTAGAATCTATCTGGCACCATGCATAGTTATCACATTATTACTGCATATCTCTGACTTGCCGAAGTCACGTAGGTAGTGAGTGCAGAAGGAGTGTTCAAGCCCAGGCTTGTCCTGACTCCAACACCTGTGGTCTTTCCACAGTGCCACAAGGTGCAAGATGTAGTATAATGCCACAGCAGAGCAGGTGCCCCATATACCTCAGGTATTGTTCTTTTGTTCTTATTTTCTTTTCACAGAGTTAAATTATTTTTTAAAATTTCAGTTAGTAGATAAGAATAGTTCAACCATAGGTATTGTAAATGTAATCAACGTTATTATTTTATGAGGCATATTTTATTTTCCTATTTTGCATATGCTTCACAACTGGGATACCCAGGGAAGTTCTAAAAACAAGAATAATTATCCATTGGCATTTGGGAGCTTTTATGCATGGAATTCCAAACTTACAGAGAGTCTTACTAAAATTAATACTTCTAATCTGCCTGGAGATTTTATTTTTATCTGTTTGTGCATAGTCTATGGAAATTAAACATTTTTATTTTGTATATATAAACTTCATAATGCAAAGCATGTTTTTAAAGCATTTTAAATGCTAAAATCCTTGAGAGAAGCATTAGGATTAAAATCAATGTTGCTATGGATCCAAGTATACAACATTAAGATATCATCTGATTTTTTCATTTTACTTTATAGGTGTAAAAGGCTTAATCTTCAGCCTTTAGCTTACCTTTGGCAGAGAAACCAAGAAGACTTGCTCCGAGAGATGATATCATCCAACATTCAGGCAGTCATCATCAAAGTAGCAGCGCTGGGTACGTAGCCTGACTTCTCAGGGCGCTGTCTGTTACCATGCACATAATGAGTTCACTAATAAGCAGTTACAGTGAAAATGGAAGAAGGATTTTGCATATAAAAATGTGGGATCACAAGCTGAAGAAATTGAGTTAGGGGACATTTTAAAATGGGCTTTTGATCATTTACTGGAATACTTAGTAGTGAGCCTCAACACATTATTTTTAAGTGTTGATATTAACTGCCTCTAAACTGGTAATGTATTTTGGTCCTTTAAGTTCTGTTTGTGGGATTTGGAATTCAGGTTCATAGGAAATCAGAAATTCAGGTTGAATTTTTAATCCTTTGGAAAGCTATTTGGCACCATACTTGATATTTCTCTTGTATTTTTAACCTATACTGAATAGTGTTAAAATAGAATGATTGGCTTTGTTTGTGGATCAGAAACAAGCAGACTAGTGGGGTTTTGTTGGGGATGGTGAGAAAGTCACATTTGAAAGCATGTCATTTGATCAGTTAGCACAGACGCGATCTTGTAGGCAGGTGGTAATCTGATTCAGATATGGATATTACATATGAACACATTAATTTATGGCTTTGCATTTTTATAATTATATTCATTTTCAAGAAACCATAGGGTTTGAGCCCAATACATTTATTTCATGAACCTATTACAGGAAATGCCCTGAAGCCTCAGGGCTCTCAAAGCCTCAATCATGTACCTCATTTGGGAGTGTTTACTTTTGTGATCTCTTAAGTAACGAGGTCTCAAGCTGTGGAATATTTTACAAACAAATTCACATTTTACACAGCTTTTAGGGGAAGATTTCATAATATTTCTCCTTGGTAAACACCAAGCTACTCTCTTCTTAATGCAGTCACAGTGTTGTCTTGAGCAGAAAGCCTTATTTACAGAAACTGCAGTTGATAAAAAGAGAAGGATTGAAGTGGTGTTGTGTTCCTATTTTTGAGAAGAGTTTGCTGAGCAACTCTTAGGATTGCAGTTCTCACAATAGATATATCTGTCATATAATTTTCTGTATGAATCTATATAGAATATGCTCTCTCTTCCAGATTTTCTAAGATTGCCTAGTTCTGTAATGAATTGTATGTGACATCTCACCGGACAGTACACACTCAATTCCCTTTACTACTAGAGAACGGAAAGGATTAGAACCCAGAGAGAACCTGCATCATTTGAAAGATAGATCCATAGAATGTTACCTTACTGCCACTGTTACTCGAGTATGAAAGTGATATTGTGTATCTGTTTATTTGTGTGTGTTAGTGCCTCTATTAGGGGTCAGAGATGATAATTAATTGTATTCAACTTTTTGGTAAAGTATAAACTGAGCTATTTTTCCTCACTCTCTCCATGACAAAAGTATAAATTTGACTTTTAACATTTTAGCACATACTTTCTTTTGACTACCTATAGGTATGCAAAGATGAAATTTATTCTTGAGAACAGTATTAAAGAAATATTTACTGAGTAGCACATTTCTTCTAAGGGTATAGAAAAATATAAATAATGCAGTATAGGTTTCTAATCTTTTTTCACTCTTTTTAAAGTTTTCAGAAAAGGATTTAAGCAAAAAATAGGACAAGAGGAGCCTTCCATGAAGAGAGGGTTCAGCAAAGTTTTGTGACCCTTTAGATTACAGAGTAGTCCTAGAAAAGGGTTGGTTCTACATGGATGTATAAAAGTATATTTCTGATAGTTGTGTTAGATAACTTTGGTGTCTGCAGGCTCTGGAACTCTTGAGCTTTTCACAGAAGCAGCTTAGTATTTTAAAAGTTTCTGTTTTATTTTATTTTATTTTTATTGTTTATGCTGTTGTAGTTGTTTCCCCTTTTCCTGCCATTCCCTGCCTCTACCCAGCCCCATTCTCTCCCCTCCTCATGCCAATCCCTGTACTTTTGTCCATGTCCATGGGTATGCATATATGTTCTTTGGTTAATCCCTTTACCATCTTTCATCCTGTCCTCACCCCTTCCTTTCTGGCAACTGTCAGTCTATTTCATATATCTGAGCTTCTTTTACTATTTTGTTCATTAGTTTATTATGTTCATTAGATTCCACCTATAAGTGAGGTCCTGTGATATTTTTCTTTCACTGACTGGCTTAATTCACTTAGCGTAATTTCCTCCAGGTCCACCCATGCCATTGCAAAATATAAGGGTTTCTTCTTTTTTACTGCATCATAATATCCCACTGTATAAATGTACCACAGCTCTTTTATCCACTTTTATACTGATGGACATTTAGGCTGTTTCCAAATCTTGGCTATTGTAAGTAGCACTGCTGTAGACATAGGGGTCCATATATATATATATATATTTTTTTTCTTTTTTTGTATTGGTGTTTTGGGATCATTGGGGTGTATTCCCAGTAGTGGAATTGTTGGATCAAAAGGAAGTTCCATTTTTAATTTTCTAAGAATACTCCATATTATCTTCACAGTGGCTGCGCCAGACTGCATTCCCACCAATGGCACACTAGGGTTTTTAAACTTATTTAAGAAACCATTTGCACATCAGATTTTAGAACAATCCTGTGTTTTAGAAATATTAATTTCTAATTTTATGAGTATTACATGAAAACATTCTTGCTGTATAATATTCAATTTTCATAGATTAAGAAAAGAGTCCGTATCTTTTCTAGCCTCTCCTTCCCCAACACATACTTCTTTTCCTAGGGATACACACCAGAATGGTGGCTGACCATCTTTATAGATCACTTTTATTTTGCTATGTGTGTGTGTATATGTATATATGTGTGTGTGTGTATATATATATATATATATATATATATATATATATATATATAAAATTGTTTTATCAACTTTTTAATGATACTACACAAATGTAGTATTATTACACATAGTCTGTGTATTGATTGGGAACTTACCTTTTTTTGAAAACTCAACAACATGTCTTAGGGATTTTTACATATCAATAAATATAGATCTACCTCATGTTTTGTTTTTAAGTAATATTTTAGTAAAGTGTGGCATAAATGCAACAAAGTGAACAAATTCTTAGTGTATAACTAGGAATTGATGAATTTGATGAAATTTGATGCATTTCCACAAAGTGAAGATACCTATATAATCAACACCCAAATCTAGATACAGAACATTGCTAATGTCCTCCTCATCAGTATTTGCCAGATACTGACACTTCAAACTATAGACTGGCCCTGGCCGGTGTGGCTCAGCTGGTAGGAGCATTGTCCCATAAAATGAAAGGTCGTAAGTTCAATTCCCAGTCAGAGCACCTGCCAAGGCTGAGGGTTCATCATCTGGTTGGCGGAGCACGTATAAGAGGCAACCAACCAATCAATGTTTCTTGCACCAGTGTTTTTCTCCCTCTCTTTCCCCCTTCCTCCTCTCTCTCTAAAATCAGTAAGCATGTCCACAGGTAAGGATTAAAAAAAAACTGTAGATTAGTTTCTCCTGTTTTTTAATCTAATACAGTTGAATCATATAGTATGTTCTCAATTGTGTCTGGCTTCTTTGGCTCAATGTTATGTTTATGAGATTCATTCACATTATTGAATAGAGCAGTAATTTGTTGATTCTCATTATGGAACGGAAGTCCATCGTAGGAATGTACCACAATTTGTCTATTTTATCATAGATGACATACAAGTATTTTCTAGTTTGGTGCTGTTATGATGGTGCACTAGGTAACACATTTTGGTCAATGACAGACTATGTATGCACTGGTGGTCCTATAATGGAGCTGAAAACTTCCTATTGCCTAGTGACGTCATAGCAATCCTAACATTGTAGTGCAGTGTGTTACTCATATGCTTGTGAGACTGGTGTAATGAAACTCATGGTGTTTGTTGCCAGTTGTATAAAAATAAAGCACATATAACTATGTACAGTAATAATACTTGATAATAATAATAAATGACTATGTTACCAGTTTACGTATTTACTACACTATGCTTTTCATTGTTATTTTAGAGTGTGCTCTTTCTAATTATAAATAAGAAGTTTGCTTTTAGCAGTAGCCATGTACATCTCATGCTTACCACATCTCTTGATTGAATCATTTTTCTCTTTTGCTTGATTTAATGCTGCGTTTTGTGTAGTAACGTGCTGTACAGCTGGTATAGGCAACACCATTTAGGTTTGTGTAAGTATACTCAATAATGTTCACACAATGACAAAATCACCTAATGGTGCAATTCTCAGAATATATCCATGTCAGTAAGTGGCACATAACTGTATAAATACTGCTAGGAACAGATGAGCTCATCCTGTACATTTTATGCCCGAGACCTAAATTTCTAGTTTCCATTTTTTCAAGCTGCCCAGATTTCTTTTAATGGGAGTATATGTATAATCTCATACCTCATGAGCTCATGATATTTTAAAATTGAATTCAGGACCATATGAGAATGATAATGATTCTATAGTCTATCTGTGCTCTTTCTTTCTTTTCACAGTGGAAAACCTCTGTCTTGAGGACAGAGAATATATTATTTATTAGAAAATCTCATAATTAGTGGGAACAAAATAAACAAGTAGCATGTCTACAATATATTCTTTCTATTAACTGGGATAAGCTCCTTGAAAAGAAAGAAAGAACTTGTATGATCTTATAAACATCAACTACAGATCTCCTGGCAAAAACAAACAAACAAAAAAAACACAAAGTCACTAACGGTATTTACTATCTGGGAAGAGTCTTTGTCTTTGGACTACTTTTAGCAGGATATATCTTGTTGCTATGATTGATCTTCGTAAACAAATCTGGAATCTTTAGTTTTGGGGCATGGCTCCCTGGAACATGTCACGGAAAGTATATGGTTTGTAAAATAGATATGTTTCACGACTGAGGTAGCTATCTTCTGCGTGTATGATGTAAAGTATGTGTGTTGCTTAGAGACCTTACATGTTCACCCAGGTCACACCAGGTTCAGTGTGTCCAGAAAACACCAGGAAGGCCAGCCTGATGGTTCTGGCCCTCTCCCTGCTTCACGTGGCCCTTTCATTGCCTCTGT